GTTGGGTGCAATATTCGATTCATTGCTCGAGATGGTTGCTGCACGTGGACCAAGCTTCTATCGGCTTTTTCAATATCCCTCAATGACCATTGTTAAAGGTTCTTTTTTTTCCCCTTTTTCTTCTAAATTTTACGAAAGTAGCCCAAACGGACGATAATCGGTTAAAATTTATGTGATGATTCCTTGGTATTTCGTTGGAGCCAAAAAAGCCATGCGATAAGACGTGATTGGCATAGCGCCGTGGCAAACAGCACAGTTTTTTGGGGAGAGTTCTGTTCTTTGCCAGAGAGGAAAGCAATTTCAATAGAAAGTTATACTAGGAGTGAATGAAAAAAAGGGAAAAAAGAATAAAAAAGGAAAAGGAAGGTATGAAAATTTAGAAAATTTATAAGATTATTACAAGGTAAGAAGTGTTTTGGTCCATTAAGTCGTATACATTTCTTGCCATTGCCACAACTGAACCTCGTCAGTACAACGATTGCGGTAATTAGAGTTAGTAGATATTAAGATTAGACGGATTACCGAATTCTTTTGCAGTCTTCCTGGTCCCCGCCTGCACTTCTTTCACACAGTTTTTGTGCTGTGTAACAGCGTTACAAAACGCATATTGTCACGGAGTTGTCTGTGTGTGTGTGTGTGTCCCACATTTTGTCCCGCACTTTCAACTCGGGAACCACAAAAGCTAGGCGGCTGAAATTCTGGTATAGTAGTCCCCGCCAAGGATAACGCGGCAAATTTAAATTCAGCCTTCCCTTACCAGCGGGTAACACGTACGGCCCCGTGAAAGTTTTTTACGGGTAAGTTAATATCTCGGGAACCACGGAGTCTAGGAGGCTGAAATTTTAGGTTAATGCTCCTCTGCCAACGCTCAACCTTGCCCATTCAAATTCAGCATTCTCGCGCTTTCGGGTACCACCTACGGGCTAGTGAAAATTTTGGCGGGTAAACTATTAACTCGGGAAACACGGAAAGATATTCATCCTCCAAGGTTTCGAATTCAGCTTTCATGCGCTGGTGGGTGAAATTTTTAACTGTTTTCCAATGTTTGAACTATTTTTGCATAGACTGAAGTACGGAGCAGTGAAAATCATTAGTAGGAATCGTTCGATGGGCTGAATTGCACAAAACGCATGATCGCACCGGCTCGTCTGGTGCGCGTTGCTA